GAGTCAGGGTGCCTGGAGAGCTGCCGTGCCACCACCGGCACCGGCACCACCACAGTGGACTTGGCAACAGCAGTAGATGTCACTCTGGAGGCACGAGAGGTAGTGGTCATAGATTCGGTCTTAAGGGGACCCTTAGGCCTTAGTGCCTTTTTAATAGGGAGATATTCCATGTGTCTACAAGGTATTCTTGTTGTTCCAGAATTGATTGACGCTGATTATTTGGGTGTTATCAAAATTAAGGTACATACCATGACACCACCAATTACCATTCCAGCCAAAAGCAAAATTGCCCAGCTCATCCCCTTGCATTGCCTGGTCCCGTGTGTAACAGAAAAGGACCGTGGAGAAGGGAGTTTCAGTTCTGCCAGAGCCCCGGAAGCGTTATTGGCCGTAGATATTAAAAGAGGAAAGCCAGAAGAACCAGTGATAGTACTGCATCCTAGCAGTGCTATCAAGTCCCTCCAGTTGACCATGCTTTTGGACACCGGTGCTGATGTCTCAATTATCCCTCGTCATAAGTGGCCACCGGCTTGGCCTCTGACACGAGCCCCCGGGGGTGTGGTGGGGGTGGGCGGGGTGCAAGAGACCTGGCTGAGCCGTGACGTGGTAACCTTTTGGTTTAAGGATGGCAGGTCGGTGGGAACCAGGCCGTACGTTCTGGCGTTACGTGTTCCGTTGCTGGGAAGGGACGTGTTGGGTCAGCTGGGAGCAAGGCTGGTGACAGACCCTTTTTAGGGGCGGTCACTGAGAGGCAGCCAACCCTGAAACTGAGACGGAAGACAGACACCCCCGTCTGGGTAAATCAGTGGGAGGCAATAGGCTGCAGACTGTTCAGTTGTTGGTCCAAGAGCAACTTGATGCAGGGCATATTGTACCATCCACTAGTCCCTGGAACACCCCGATTTTTACCATCCCCCAAAAAGTCTGGAAAGTGACGTCTTTTACATGATCTCCGTGCCATTAATGAGGTCATGGAGGACATGGGAGCGCTACAACCAGGACTCCCATCCCCTGTCATGATTCCAAAAGATTGGGACATTGTAACTATTGACTTGAAAGACTGCTTTTTTACGATCTTTTTGCATCCTCAGGATGCAGAGAGGTTTGCCTTTAGTGTGCCTTCCACCAATAAGGCCAAACCTGCCAAACTTTATCACTGGGTGACTTTGCCCCAAGGCATGAAAAATTCCCCCACGTTGTGTCAAGATGTAGGTTGCACGGGCATTGCAACCTTTCAGAAAGGAACGTCCCCATTTGCTAGTGTGTCACTGGGTAGATGATATTCTGATTGCAGGAAAACAGCTGGAGGTAAATCTGATCGTGGCTGAGTTGCAGGTACAGCTGGAGAAGCGAGGGTTAAAAATTGCCCCAGAAAAGTGATCCATGGAAGTGTCTGGGATGGATCATCACCCAGGGAACAGCACGCCCCCGGAAAATTGATGTAAACACGCAATTATCAACTTTAGCAGATGTGCAGCAACTGATGGGAGATATTCAGTGGGTTAGACCTGTGTGTGGAATCACCAACGACGACATACGTCCTCTCCTGCCACTGCTGGG